CTAGTTCCTTATCTTTGTCTTTTGGCCGATTCCATTCTCTGTAATGTCTCCCGAGTGATGTTCCCAAATAAAGGAACTGACCTTGTTGCTTCTTTGCAGTGTGCTGGGCTCCTGCTGCCCGCAGAACAAAGTCAGAATTCTAGCACATTCCTCACAGACTCTCTGGTCCAATCATGTGCCTCCAACGTTAGGTGACAGGCACACTCTTGCTAATGGGCAGGAAACAGGCTCTTCCATGGGAATTCTAGAAAAGCATTTCAAGCTGAAACTGGTTTTGCTCAGTGGATAGAGCGTCAGCCTGCGAACTGAAGGGTCCCAGGTTCGATTCCGGTCAGGGGCATGTACCTTGGTTGCAGGCACATCCCTAGTGGGGGTGTGCAAGAGGCAGCTGATCGATGATTCTCTCACATCGATGTTTCTGGCTCTCTATCCCTCTCTCTTCCTTCTGTAAAAAAAAAAAATCAATAAAATATATTTTAAAAAATAAAAAAAAGAAAAGCATTTCAAGGATCCACGCACGGTGGATAGTGATATGGCAAGGTAGTTTATTGGTGATGGCTGCCCCTGGGCTTCCAATGTCCCATTTCCCTCTGTCCCACCCTGGGAAAAGTCCAACCATGTCTTCAGCTGGACACAAATAAAAATCAGTGAACAGAGTTTCTGCTCCATAGTCCTCAGAAGCCTATGGTCTGCGGGCCCTGGTGGCCGCTAGACCTGCATGGTGGGGGGTCCTGAGGAAGAGAGAGACTCATCTAAAATTATATAGTCTCAGGCTTGGGAGGAACCAGAAGCTTTCAACATCTAGTGAGTCCATCCATATGACTGGGCTGTAGCTCTCCTGAAGTCCCCAGCCTCCTTCAAGACTTTACCCCAGCTTGTCTAGGAATGAAGGTTGGAAGGTGAGCTGCGAAAGAAACTGGAAAGACTATTCAAAAATTACACATGAGGGGGCACCTGGATTTGAACCAGGGACCTCTTGATCTGCAGTCAAATGCTCTACCCCTGAGCTATACCCCCTTGGACACTAGTATAGCCTAATTGATGCCTTTCCTCTGCGTGGTAACACTGGGCTCTGCGCAATTAAGTTACCGCTCCCTTCCAGGACTGACTTTATAGAAGCTGTCAGATGAGCTCATAATAAGACACCTTCCCTCAGTCCTGCAGCTTCTAAGCCTCAGTTCCTGGGTGGGGTCATCAGAGAGGAAAGAAGATAATGAGAGAAGCAGCCTGAAGAAACTCCAAAACATTTCCCATTGCTTTTTTGTTTTGTTTTGTTTTAGTCCAAGAGCAGCCCAACCATCTCCAAAACTATTCACCTCTCTGGTCTCCCAGTCCTTCACCTTTCTTCCTTCAGGGAAGATAGAAATGGGCTCTAATGGAGACAAGTGTCACGAGCTCCACTCCTTGGGTTTTGGAGGAACAACACCGCAGAATCTAGGTTTCCCTCGTGGGCATAGCTAAGCCGGCCTTTTGGCCATTGAGGCAGAAGCGAGTGTATGAGTGAGTCCTGGTGTGGAGAAACCAGCTCCCCAGAGGGAAAGGTCAACCCTACTGCAAGAAGAACCTGGAAGCCATGGTTTGTCTCCATAAGTCTGACCACCACTCCACTGTCCCAGCTGTTTCGGTGGGAGGTGAGATAATAATTTAGGTTGCCCATTTACTGTTTGTTCCTACAAATCTTCTCTTTCTATAGCTCTCTTCTGCTGCCCTGGAAAAGCCCAGTAAAATTCTTCAGGAGAGTCCCGGCCTTCTCTTTGAGGCCCAAAAGAGTTGGATAAATGAGATATATAAAGAGGGGGAAACACCGGATGTCAGAAAGCAATTGTGCAAGGGCTAATTTCAGGAAGGATCTAATTGGAAGAATTCTAATTTCAGGAAGAATCATAATTGACAAAGCTGAAAGGAAATGGAATATGAGCAACAGCTATGAGTAAGAAAACCAATGGAGTAGGGGGCACCCGGATTTGAACCGGGGACCTCTTGATCTGCAGTCAAATGCTCTACCCCTGAGCTATACCCCCTTACCTGTCATGTACCTGTAATTACATACCTTTTCACCTGTGTTGCAACACCCACATCTATGCACTGAAATTTCTATTAATTCTTGGAAAAACCATAAAAAATTTTTTTAAAACCATAAAAATATTTTAGAAAGTATCTTTTGATTGATTTATAATAATAATAGTAATTGCCTACCCTTTTTGCTCCAAAGTGAACCACACTAGCCAGGCAAAACAACTTTTAACCTATTTTTTCATCAGATCGTCAAAAATACACTTTTTGTATGCTGCACAATTTTAGTAATTAATTTATGTGTGCCATGAAATGAAAAAAGTTGAAAATGGCTGTAATAGATCATTGGATTGTATCACTGATAAACTTCTTGAGTGTGTTGTGGTTATGCAGGGGAATACATTTGTTCTTAGAAAATACTTGTTGAAACTTCTTCTTCCCTTGCAATCCATGTTTGCTGCCACCTACCCCTGGTTCCCTGTCCCAGCCTGGGGCCTGGCCCCTATTGGGCAATTGGGACCTGCTGGCCTGGAGGAAGGGAAGGGGGAAGGGAGGGACCCAGGAGGTTAGCCACCAGCCTCCCTGGGAAAGGGACCACATCCACTGCCACCCATCCCCAGTTCCCCATCCCAGCCTGGGCACTTGGCACTGATCAGGCAATTGAGGCCTGCCAGCCAGGAGGAGGGACCGGGAGGTTGGCTGGCAGGTCCCATTGGTGATTGGGGCCTGCAGGCTGGAGACAGCTCCTGCGTTGAGTGTGTGCCCCCTGGTGGTCAGTGCACATCATAGTGACCAGTTATTCCAGTCATTCTGATCATTCTGTCGTAATGGTCACTTAGGCTTTTATATATATAGATGAGATGAGTTAGGACACTATTCCATGTGTTAACATTTCTCTCTAAATGCCAACTGAATGGTACCAATATTAAAAGTTAAGAGCATGGACAAGGCAGAGTTGGCTGCAGGCTTGATTGGGGTGGAAAGGCTTGATAGGAGTTAGGGCATGAGCTGGTCCAGGAGAGACAGACAGGGATGGGAGGGGAGGGGAAAGGATATGAGGAAAGGCACGGGAGTGGAAATTCTCATGCCTGACACAGACTGGGCAAAAAATTGGAAATTGGTCATTTCTACCCCAAAATGGCCTGGCATAAAGCAAAAGTTGAATTTATTATAAAAAAAAAAAAAATTACATCCCTGAAAACTAGCTCTTCTTTCTGATCACTTTAGTTCTATCACAAGTGCACACTCCCTCCCTTCAGACTCCATACTTTTGCATTATCCTGGAATATTTTTCACGTAAACAACACGTGCTGTTGGTTACCACTTCTCATTTCATAGTCTTGACAGGGCCCTCAGAACCGCCTGTCCCTATCTGTTCCTACTCCAGCTACATTTAGTTAGACCTTTTCTCACCTCATGATGAGACTGCTGGAGTAATCTTCTGATTAACCTCTTACCCCTCCCGCACATGGCCTTCCCTGTCCCTGTGAGCGCCATGAGCGGCAATCCCTGGGAGCTGAGGGCAAAGGAAAACAGCCAGGCCAGTATCAATGCGGGAAACACACACACTGGAGAGGCTGCACTTTCATACACAACGCACGCATCCGGGTGAGCCGTTTGCCTTGGCCCGCCCAGGCGGATGAAGAAAAAACAAGGGCCTGTTAAGATCTTGCTGCTGACCCCGAGCCCCACTGAAGTCTGGAGCACGTGGTGCAGGTTCCTCTGCAGGAAGGAGCCACGCGGAAAGGAAATGCAACCTGTGACCAAAGGGGAGCCCCCTTCAAAGGCTCCTTCCACCCCCCCACTCAGGTTCGCTTTAGGTTTTTCCTATTTATTTTTTTTCTCTCCTTGTTTAAAAATACTATTAGTATTACAAACTACTATAAAGTATTACCATTATTACAAAACTTTTACATTTGAAAAAGTTAGAAAATGTGAAAAAAAAAAATAGCCTGAGGTCTCAGTTATGAAATAGACTCCTTAGACTACATGCTTCCAAACTGGTCATTTTATACACATATACTCATTTTTTAAAAATAAATAAATAAAAACGGGACCATTCTGGACTGGCGTCTCTTGTTTTATTATTTCTTCTTGGACCGATGTCTCTTAAAATATCAGGAACATCTTCCCATACCAAGGTCTTTACCAACATACTTTTAAATGATGATATTGTGTCCCACTGGTTATTCCATTAAAAACATTTTTAGAGGGGGGGGGCAATGTTAAAATATGTACAAAGATAATTTAATAAAAAATGTAAAAAATAATTTAAAAAAACATTTTTATAGGCAATAAACACGGTAGAGAGTTCTGAGTGGCTGCCGGACAGGGGTTTACCGAACTTCCTATTGTAGAATTCTTTCCATTTCAACCCAAAGGTAGACCTGAGCTGCAGCTGCCAAATAAGCCTCCACCCGGTAAGAAGCCCGGGGGGCACCTGGCAGGACCTGAGGCGGCAGGTGCGACGCAGCGGGTCCCCCGGGGGGCGGGGGGCCGGGGCCAGGGGTGGCCCCGCAGCCCCTGGAGCGGGCGCTTCTTCTCTCCGTCGCCGGGTCTCTAGGGCGGCAGGCTGGTGGGCGCGGGGTCCCGGGTGAGTCGGCGCGCGCACGGCCGTTTCCGGGGGGCGGGGGCGGGGCTGCGGGGGTCCGCGGGGCGGGGCGCGGAGGGGCGGGGCGGGTGCCTGCCGTTCGGCGCTCGGGCTGCAGGGGGCGCTGTGCGGCCGCGCTGCCTCCAGGAAGCCTCACGGGCCTGCGCCGGCTCCCAGGATTCAGTGTGGGCCGGCCGGGCGCTGACGGCGGCGGCGCGGCTGCGGGCGGAGCGGCGCGGGCCGGCAGCGAGGAGCGCGCGCCGCGGACGGGCACGGCGGGCCGGGCGGGCGGGCGGGCGGCGCCTGCGGAGAGGCCGGGGCCGGCCTGCGTCGGGCCGCGCGGCGGCGGCGGCGGCGGCGGCGACTTCCTCCGGGCCGGGCCGGACAGCGCAGGGCCATGGCCGAGGCGGCCGCGGCTCCGGTAAGGGCGGCCCGCGCGCGCGGACCCGGGGCCGGGCCCAGCACTCGGCGCCGCAGGCCCTTGGGGAGGGGCTGCGGGGCCCGGGCCGGGCCGCCGGGCCTGGGGCTGCGGCGAGCGGGGCGCGGGGTCCTCCGGGGCCTACGGCACCCGCCGGCCGGGCCCCCCATTCCGGGATGAGCCCGAGCGGGCTGGGACCGGCCGTCCCCGCCCCGGAGGCCGCCCCGCGCCTGCTCCGCAGCCCTCCGCGGCTTCCTGCCCCGGCCCCACCCGCGAACCCCTTCATCGGGGCGCCTCCCCCACCCCCCTCCCCTCCCCTCCCCTCCCCTCCCCTCATCTCCTTTCTCTGCCCCGCGCTCCCTGCCCCCGGAGCTCCCCCCAGCGGCCTGGTGGCACCTGGGAGGTGTCCGAGGCGGCTTGGATTCCGCATTCGCCCGGTGCCGAGTGCCCGGCTCGCTGGGGTCCCGGCGGAAGGCAGCTGCCTCCGTGGGTAGGAACAGGCTCCGCAGCAGCCCGGTTAGGCATGGTTTTGTCCTCACAGCAAGCCTGGAGGGTAAGGGAGGTACACGCTCTCTGTGTCGTACAAAAGGTAAACCTGAGGCCTAGAGAAGTTAACTTGCCCAGAACCACACCGCTAGGAAGTGTGTGAAATTACAAGGTCGCCCCGTGTTGAGGAACACGCTGCTCTGGGGGCAGCAGGCAGGGACACAGGCAGTCACAGGGCAAAACAGGTGAGCGTGTCCTGCATGGAGTAGAACATGCCTGGGAGCGGGGAGAAGGACAGGGCACGGGCTGCCCTTGCAGTCCACACCCCTCCCGGCCCGAGCCTCTGTGATTTGAGCTGGGCTCTCAGGGAAGGCTAGGATTTCAGGTGGGGAGGACGGCTCCCGGCCCAGAGAGGGAGAAGGCAGTGCTAGCATGTTCAAGGGACGGAAAGGTGTCCTTGCACCTGCAAAAAGATGGCTTTGGTCGGGAAACTGCAGGAGAGGAGGCTGAGGGAGAGTTGGAAGAGGTTCCGATGCCTGGACTTCCATCACATGGGTGAGGAGCTGTTGGAGAATCTGGGGCTCTCTTACCAGCTCCTCTCAAGCACAGAGGTTTCGGCTTTCCTGGCAGGAGTCCGGGGACAGCCCCGTATTGTCCAGCCACCATTTAATGAGGAGTTGGACTGGAGCAGCACTAGTGGCCATCTCCCACCAGGTAGTGTGAAAGCCTTGCACAGGGCCCGGTTAAAGTGGTAAGAAAACAGGGGGCCTCGTTGTTTACAAAGGAGGCGTTTACTCATGCAAAGGTTGTCATGATGGCAGCAGGTGCACTAGGAGGCTGAGTGAGTAGGATTTCAGTGGATGGGGAGCTTCTGGAGCAAACTCTTGGAGGCTGGGATCATGATGGGGACAGGTGGGAGGTTGGGGCGGGGGGGGGGGGGGGGGGATAGGTGCTAGCCCAGTGCAGTCCCTGCAGCCTCTGGAAGGCAGGAGTGCCACACACATCCAGCTTATTGCCTGTCGAGTTCCTCCTCTGAGACCCAGTCAGAGCTCTCTCTTTTTTAGGTCAGAGGTCAGAGGTCATGTGGTCCAGCCTCCCTGCAAACAGCCAGGTTCTCAGGCTTCTGCTCAAACTCTCCTGTCACTGTTTTCTGAAGTGTCCACTCCTGTTCTAGTGCTCAGTGACTTTCCCTACGTGAATCCACACTGGTTCCTCGTAGTCACTTCTTTATTTTGCAAATAGTCACTTAGCCATTTGTTTAGGAGTCATTTCCAGAATGTTGTAAGGTACTGTGGGTCCTCAGGCCGCAGGCACACCAGGAAGAGGCATGGATAGTGAGGACACCCCCACACACACTCTGACATGTGGGTGAGTCAGGTGGTCCAGCCCCCACTTAAAGTAAAATCTGCCCTTTCCTCAGTGTCCCCAACTGTCAGTCCATCAAGCCACTGTGTGAACTTCCCAGAGACAGGAAAGGCAGCTGCATGGGGGAGCTCCACGTCTGTGGGATGTTGCTGCACATGCCAAAGTCAAACCTAATGGCATTGTCTTACCTTCCCCTCCAGTTGGTAAGATGTGTCACAGCCTGGAGCAGCTACGAGAATGTCTGAGACACACATAGAAAAGACTATCTAACACATAATTCTCCTCTTCGGGGGAGAAGTGGGAATAGCGAAAGAGTCAGTCTCTCAAGGGGCCGACTCGTGTTATAGCAAAAAGTCTTGGCTGGTGGGGATTTGCAATAATGGTGATTTTTAATTTGGGGGGTGGTAACTGGGAGGGAACCAAATCAGATTGTCCTGTGAGGCGAGGAATTAACCATTTTATTTTTATGTTTATTAAAAAGAGACACAAGCTGCTTAAAAAAAAAAAAAGCAGTTGAGCAGCACTCTTGTTTGTGCAGTTTCAGTGAACTGGCTGGATTGTGTTTTTGCTAGGTCATCATCAGTAGAGGTTCTTACGTGATGAGGATGGGAAGTGCTGGCTGGCCTCTAGTAAACCTGCAGTTTACCATTTCTCCACTGAAACACCCAGCAGTGCTCAGTCATCGTTTGCTTAGCAGAATTGCACTGGGCGCCTGCTGCAGGCCATGCGCCATGCTGTTAAAAGGGCCTGTGCAGCCGTCAGAGGTCATGCAGGAGGGTGCAGGGGATAAGTATAGGGCAGAGAATGCCACCATCGGGGTCTGCATAGCATGCTGCAGAGACCTGGCGGGACGGCAGCCACCCAGACCTGGGTGATGTGTAAGACTCCCAGAGGAGGTGATCACTAGACTGAAACCGGGCATGTGGCCCAGGGCATCCCCACTTTTCACATGTGGGTTCCCACCCCTATTCCAGCTCCCCCACACCTAAGATAGCTGGGCTCACAGAACACGACTGGTGGAATGATCAATGCTGGTCTCTCTTTGTTTCTGGAAGATTTCTCCCTGGACAATGGCAGCCACCATTCAGGCAATGGAGAGGAAGATCGAATCGCAGGCTGCCCGCTTGCTCTCCCTAGAAGGTCGAACAGGAATGGCCGAGAAGAAGTTGGCTGACTGTGAAAAGACGACCTTGGAGTTCGGGAACCAGCTGGAGGGCAAGTGGGCCGTGCTGGGGACCCTGCTGCAGGAGTACGGGCTGCTGCAGAGGCGGCTGGAGAACATGGAGAACCTGCTGAGGAACAGGAACTTCTGGGTCCTGCGGCTGCCCCCGGGCAGCAAGGGGGAGGCCCCCAAGGTAACTGGGCACCTGGGGTGGGACAGTGCTAGGGGCTGTGCCTATAAATGTGGGCGGGCGGACATGACATCTGTGTTTCCAGATGTCCATGACTTTTGATGACATGGCTGTCTGTTTCTCCGAGCAGCTGGATGAATGGCAGAAGGAACTGTACAAGCACGTGATGAGGGGCAACTACGAGACACTGGTCTCCCTGGGTAAGGCCTGATAGTCATTTCTCTGTTCAGTATTATTTGGGGAGTCCTCAGATCTCTCTTTTCATGCTGGTGGGTTTTATCGCAAGGATATATAAATTACTGGAAACTTAGACCATGCAAAGAGTTCTCTCTCTTCATCCTATAGATGAGTCCTGGGTGACCGAGTTGTAAGGTCTCTTCCACCTGGTGAAAGTCACAGGATACCAGACAGAGGTGGGGAGGCCCCTTCGCTAACCAGGGGTGGAGCATGGCAGTTTTTATTCCTCTGCTGAAGCTTAGAGAAGGTGCCTATGACTGAGCTCCAGGGTCTCATCCACCCACATTTGAGAAAGGTTTCTCGTTTAGCTTTCTCTTACTGAGAGAGGTGGCCTTGCCTGTGACCCTCCTCTGGTTCAGTGGAGAATGTGCGCAGACCATGCTTGCAGCCAGTGCTGTCTTCATGCTCGAGACTTTGCTCCCCCAGAGTCTGGGGCTGCTGCCACTCTCCTCATGTACCCAGAAGGTCTGGGCTCTTTCTTCCTGGGTCCATTTCTTCTCGGGATGTTTCTGTGACCCCAGATCTGGAGGCAGTGAGCATCCTTAGTGCGGATGGAGCAGGTGAAGGTGTGATGTTATATTTCAGTTTGCAGAAATGTATCACTGCTTAATGTAGAGACGGTACCAGAGTTTCTTCACCTGGGCACTGTGGCATTTGGGGCCAGATGATTCCGTGTGGTTGGGGCATCAGCATCCTGACCTCCACTCACAAGGTGCACCTCTCCTCCAGCCCTCAGTCCTCACAACCAAAAATGTCTCCCTAGAAATAGAATTGTTTGTAGTTGAGAACACTGCTCTGTGTCAATCAGGAAATTTAGCTGCCTGTTCCCAGCTCTGAATGTAACCACGCGGCCAAGCTAACCTTTATGTTTTTCCTCAGACTACGCCATCTCCAAACCCGAGGTCCTCTCCCAGGCCGAGCAAGGGAAGGAGCCGTGTGGCTGGCGCCGTACAGCCCCCAAGGTTCCAGATGTGCCTGTGGACCCCAGTCCAGGTGAGGAGCTGGGCAGGGTCAGGGAGACGCCGGGCAAGCTGATGGAAACAGGAATAAAGGGCCAGAGGGGGCATGGCCTTCTAAGTTTTGTTTTGTAGTTGATTTATGACCCACACCCTATTCAGCTAACACTTGGGAATATGTCCAAATGTGGAACGGACAGCAAACCCAGACTTTTTTTTTTTTTTTTTTTAATATATATGGCTTAAGTATTTTCTTTTTTTTTTTTTTTAATATATATTTTATTGATTTTTTTTCAGAGAGAAGAGAGAGGAATAGAGAGTTAGAAACATCCATGAGAGAGAATCATTGATCAGCTGCCTCCTGCACACCCCCCACTGGGGATGTGCCCGCAACCAAGGTACATGCCCTTGACTGGAATCGAACTTGGGACCCTTCAATCCACAGGCAGACGCTCTATCCACTGAGCCAAACCGGTTTTGGCCAAACCCAGACTTTTAAGAAAGAAACCGAACCAGTGGCACTGAATTAGTAAAAGTGAAGGAAGGACATTGATAGGGAAGGTAGGCGTCTATTAAAGACAACACTTAGTTTCATGAAGAGTCAGCCTCTCCTGCATCCAAGAACCACATCTCATTGAAATTCATTAGTTGTCACAGAACATTAACTCATTAGCCACATATTAGCCACATGTTTGTGATGATTTAGAACCATAGATTGATTTAAGGAAAATCTGAATACCAGGTATCGCTGTCTCAGATTTTCCTGGAGCCAGTCAGCACCTTTGGAAGTTAAGGAAAGGACGGGTGAATGTGTGAGTCACGCCACTGACTGAAGTAAAGCCTGGTGGCTGTGGGGTAATAACTGTCTGTCCCGTGACCAGGGAGACCCGCCTCCTCCTTGTCTGTCCCCCATGCCTGGGCTTCCCTCTCTTCCATTCATTCACTGGGTTCCTGAAGAGTGACTGTGTGTAATTGGTGGTGACTGAGATGTGTCTTCTGTATTTGCTGTTTCATTGCAAATACACTTTCACTTTTCCAAGGGCAGATAGTGTACAGAACCAGCTACACTGTCAGTGGTCAGAGCATTCTCCTGCTTAGGTGCCTAGGACAGCCTGAAAGCTAGAGGATAAAATGACAGAAAGAGGGTTATGACACAGGATCTTGTAGTTTCTTAGTCTGGGTGGGAAGTTCACAGTGGGTTTGTGTTAGTACATTTGTAACATGAATGGTTTCTATACCATCGTTAATAAGAGTGACAGGGGACCTAGGAATATGGTGGCTGCTGATAAGACCCCCACATGCCCTGGCCTCTATTTTATGCCTTGAGCATGTCATCGAGAGTTGTGTATGGCCTTAATCCCCACCAGCCCCTGTCCAAGACCAGAGCCACTCACTCATCTCCTCTGGGCTTGACACAGCCCCTGTCAGGCCTCCTCTCCAACTTCTCTCCAGCTCTAACTCTGCCGTGCTTTGTGGAACTCGGTCCTCTGCAAGAACTCTTCCTGAGTGTCCTGCCTCACCGTCCTTCCTCAGATGACACCTGGGTCCCTGGGAGCACGGTGTCCTCTGCAGCTTCCCTTTCCCACATCCCTTCTCCCCCGGCTTGGCAGGGGCTGCTCTGTACCAGGGCCCCCCCCCCCTTTCGCCCACCCCCTTGAATTACATGCTTCCCGTCTCTCCACCACCTGCAGACCTCCCTCCCTCATCTCGGCATGTCTCCTCAGTCCATTCAGTATTCCAGAGGTTGACCAGCTGTGACCCTTGAAGGCCAAATCACCACCTTCTAAACTATTCTGTTTAGAATAGTTTTTATATGAAAATACGTTATTTAATTGAAAAACAAAGCAAAACACTGTTACAGTTCTTACTACCTCACCTGCCCAACTGCCTGCATCTGTGCCCAGTTCTCTATTGGCTCCTGTGACTGTGACAGACTGTCAACCCTGTGGTCAGAGACCCTCCTCCACTGGGCACTCATTCCCATCCAGGCCACCTTCTCAAGGACTGCGGCCCAGCACTTCTTTTCTCTCTCTCTTTTTTTTTTTTTAATATATTTTATTGATTTTTTAATAGAGAAGAACGGAGAGAGATAATTGGAAACATTGATGAGAGAGAAACATCTATCAGCTGCCTCCTGCAAAATATAACGTCCCCCTCTCTGCCCCATTAGGTAACCCACCAGAGGTCCCACCAGGGACATATATGGTTGGAGAGTTTGGGAGCTAGGGTTGGGCAGCTGGCCATCCCAGGGGACAGGCGGTCTCTGCTGCTCTGCTGGGGACAGCCTCCCTGACCAAGTGGTCTAGCAGGTGGCTTCCTGATTCTAGAGTCAGTATAAGAACCCCTCTCACCCACAGATAAAAGCTGCATCCTCAATTATCAGTGATAAAAATAGTTTACCCTCACCTGCCTTCCTCTTTGGTTTTACCTCTCTGTTAAAATTCATGACAGAGTGGGGGGGATAGAAGAGGAAAAAGGGGGATAAATGGTGATGGAAGGAGACTTGATTTGGATGGTGAACCTACAATACTATATATACATGATGTATTATAGAATTGTACAATTGTAACCTATATAGTTTTATCAACCAATGTCATCCCAATAAATTCAATTAAAAAAATGATCCATAACAGAAAGAAAAATGGTCATTGATGGGCTCCCTTAAAACTCTAGGAGTGTACAAAAATTCATTTCTTTTGTTTATTGATATTTTTGTCTAGGAACCTTGATTTCAGAGAGGAAGAGAGAGGGATAGAGAGATAGAAACATCAATGATGACAGAGAATCATTGATGGTTGCCTCCTGCAGACCCCCCGAATGGGGATTAAGCCCACAACCTGGGCATGTGCCCTGACCAGGAATCAAACTGTGACCTCCTGGTTCATAGGTCAATGCTCAACCACTGAGCCACGTGGGCCGGGCTTCTTGGTACCTTTTAAGATTTTGTCTTTACTGTTATTCCATTTTACAGAACATTGTCAAGATTAATATTTTTTAATATATTTTATTGATTTTTTACAGAGAGGAAGGGAGAGGGATAGAGAGTTAGAAACATCGATGAGAGAAAAACATCGATCAGATGCCTCCTGCACACCTCCTACTGAGGATGTGCCCGCAACCACAGTACATGCCCTTGACCGGAATTGAACCTGGGACCTTTCAGTCCGCAGGCTGATGCTCTATCCACTGAGGCAAACTGGTTAGGGCAAGATTAATATTTTTTAATTTCTACTTAGGAATTGGTATGTCCCTTCAAACTGTGGGCTTGTTGCCTTCAATTTGGGAATATTCTCAATCATTATTTCTTTACATATTCCTCTACTCATTTCTCTATTCTCTCTTTGAATTTCCCACGCTATGTGTGGGAACTTCTCATTCTGTACTGTACTCCATGTATTTTACTTCTCTCTTTTTTTCTTTCTTTTTTTTTTAACTCTTTCAGTGGAGTGCTGTGGATTATTTCCAGCAATCCGCCTTCCAGCTCAGCAGTCTTCTCTCTAGCTAGGTTCAGTCTATTTTTAAGCCATCCATTATGTTTTTCATTGTTTTATCATTTCTAGAATATCAAATATGTTTAGTTCTTTTTTAAATCTGCCTTTTAAAAAATGGTTTCCTTTTCTTGCTTTAGAGATTCTGTTCCTTCCTTTATGTCTTTGAATATTTTACTTTATTTTATTTTTTAAATATATATTTTATTGATTTTTTACAGAGAGGAAGGGAGAGATAGAGAGCTAGAAACATCGATGAGAGAGAAACATCGACCAGCTGCCTCTTGCACACCCCCTACCGGGGATGTGCCCGCAACCAATGTACATGCTCTTGACTGGAATCGAACCTGGGACCCTTCAGTCCATAGATCGACGCTCTACCACTGAGCCAAACCAGCTTAGGCTCTTTGAATATTTTTGATACACTTATATTATTGTATCTCTCTTATATTATTATTCTTTTTTCTGTAGTTCTTGGGAGTGAATTCTGTAGTAACTCATGCCATTTGGCTCCTCTTCCAGTTTGTAAGTTTAGTTTTTTAATAAGGACCCTTGTGGGGCAGGTTGCATTTACCTGTGCTGGGCCTCCTGGGTTGCCGTGGTTCTCAGCCAATCTTTCTGTGAATTTCACATGTTAGGATTTCTACATCCTATAGGTAGTATGAATTCAGTGTGGGCATGGGATTCTGATTTCTTATGAGTGGCTTTCCCACCTGTGCCCTGGACAAGAGGGCAGCTTCCTAATAGGCCCCTCAGACGGAGCTGTCCTGGTCCCTGTCTCACAGCTGGGACAGAGCCTTATGGCTCCTGGTTTCACACAGGCAGCTCATCTCTGCTCTTGCCTCATTTGAACATCCAAGCCCCAGCCCTTAAGGCCTGCATCCTGTCCCGGCAATTTCCTGGGTCACTTGGCTCCCACTCAGACTCTTGATTTCACTTTGTGTTTGTCCTTATTTCCATATATAGGATTTTTTTCATTATGCTCACTTAAACACCTGTGTGTGTTGGAGAGCAGGACCTCTGCAGAGCGGCTCAGTCTTTCCCGTGTACCAGTGTCTAGCCCTTAGAATGTGTGGGTGTGTTCCTCATCCTTTCCCAGCCGCCCATGTGCTCGGTGCCATGTGCTCAATGCCATGTGCTCAATGCCATGCTTTGCCAGGGAGCCCTTGCAGGCCCTGTTTGTCCTTCTTTCCCTTCCTACCAGGCTCTCATGCTGTGTGACCCCTGAGAGGTCCATTTCCTTGCCTGACTATGTGTCTACCTCAGGACCAGGGGGCCCTGAAGCTGTGCTCACACACTCTGTTTTTCTTAGGCTCGGGAGCCCCGGTTCCTGCCCCTGACCTCTTAATGCAGATCAAGCAAGAGAGCGAGCTCCAGCTCCAGGAGCAGCAGGCTCTGGGGGTAGAAGCGTGGGCAGCCGGGCAGCCAGATATCGGGGAGGAGCCATGGGGCCTCAGCCAACTGGATTCCGGAGCAGGAGATGTATCTACAGATGCTGCTTCTGGTGAGTGGCTCAGACTGGGAGCAGATAGCAGGAATAAGGCGCAGAGCCCAGGGCAGGCCTTGGGGTAAGGAGTTCCTGGAAGCCACAGTATGGGAACTATGGGCTCTCAAACATCTGGCCTGGCTAGCTTAGAAGTTTCCTCACTTTATGACAGGACCTGCACTAAGGACACCTTGGGCACCTCTGGGTTTGGTGAAGCTCTTGCCCTGGTATTTCCTGCCTCGTTTCATCAGCTGCACTTTTCTTGCCCCCAGCATTGGGCATTTAAGGCACCCACTGCCTCATATTAAGGAGGGGCTATAAGAAATAAGTTGATGACCTGTGAGCCTCCCGGTGCCTCCAAGGGGGGAGCAAAAGAAACCTGGGTTCAGGAGCAGTGGGACAGTTGTGCTCATGCAGCATGCCTGGGGTGGGGCCTCAGGGTGTTATTCCTATCCTATGGGATTTTCCTGCTGCTTCTGTTCTCTAACCCATAGGCTCTGATCTCTTCGTTGCAGGCGTGCACTCCAACTTCTCAACCACTATCCCACCTACTTCCTGGCAGGCAGATCTCCCTCCCCACCACCCTTCCTCCGCATGCTCAGACGGGACCCTGAAGCTCAACACAGCGGCCTCCACAGAAGGTACAGGTGGCAGAGAGAGGGTGGGAGAGACTTACCTCTGCTCTGCAGGTGCCTAAGCCCCAGCCTCTTTCTCACTGATGAACTGCCCTGCCCTTTCAGCCTGCAGGTACTTAGGTATCTGTGATGTTAGGACTCAGCGGTCTGTCGTTTATCTCTGTCCAGATTCTTAGGCTTGGACAGCCTGCCTTGAGCATGTCCATATTTCCAGCCGTTCTTTTCTCATGTTAACCAGTCAGTGCTCATAAGCCGATCCCTGGAAAGGATGCACCTCCTGCCCAGGCTTGGAACCTGCCTCCACTTCCTTTCTGGCAAAGAAAAAACAAACCAAGCCAGAAGCACTTCTTAGATATCGGCACTACCAAAGACAAGTGTTTACAGGCCAGAATTGGGAAGAAAACTTCCAAATTTATGTGTTATTTTTCTATTTATTTCAATTTTGTAGGCCTGTTATCTGTTGTATATTTTAGCACTCCAGAATCCCTGATACAAAATTCAGGAAATGAAATTCAAATACATTTACATCAAATCACATTTTTACTGTTTTACAAATATTTTTTTTTAATATATTTTATTTATTTTTTATAGATAGGAAAGGATAGGGATAGAGAGTTAGAAACATCGATGAGGGAGAAACATTGACCAGCCGCCTCCTGCACATCCCCCATCAGGGGTGTGCCCGCAACCAATGTACATGCCCTTGATCGGAATCGAACCTGGGACCCTTCAGTCCGCAGACCGACGCTCTATCCACAGAGCCAAAATTCGGCTAATATTTTTATTATTAGCTAGCTGGCCACATTTATTAGATGCTTGCTGCATGCCAAGCCACATGCACGGTGTCTTCAGACATGTTATCTGGTAACCCTCATACAGCCCTATGACTAGAGTGTTCACAGATGTGCTGCTGGTTAAGAAATTATCCTGCAGTCCTGGCCAGATCAGTTGGTTGGAGCATCATCTGGTTCACCATCAATATTTTTTAAAAAGGTTGTGGGTTCAATTTCCACTAGGGTACATACCTAGGTTGTGGATTTGATCCTTAGTCAGGTACGGAGGGCAATGGATCAATGTTTCTTTCACACATTGATGGTTCTCTCTCTCGAAATCAATACAAACATATCCTCAGGTGAGGATTTTTAAAAAATCGTCCTGCAGCCCACAGCTGGTCTGTGGGAAGCCGCAGAGCTGCCTCAGACAATCCCCAACCTGGTGCCTTTGCCCCTCCGGTACATTGCCACCGGCAGTCAGAGTCCCTTCCTCAAGATAAATTCTTGATTAGCCTTAACAGCTAAAGTAGAAATGGAATCCGGTAAGCAGATTGTGGTTTTACTTGCAATGAAAGTACTAGTACAGGGATGTCCTAACATTGGATTTGAAGCAGCCTCATGTCCACCTGGGGGCGCTCTGCTGAGCTGGATCCTGTGGCTTGTATCGATATGATGGTAGGGGCGAGGAGCTGCTGAATCTCCAGATGAAAGGATCAGATAATCGCTCTAAGCCCAGGAGGGGACAAATGATATCTGGTCTTTCTGTCTTTTTCAGCAGATGTAAAAATTGTGATAAAAACTGAAGTTCAGGAAGAGGAGGTGGTGGCCACACCAGTGCACCCTACTGACCTAGAGGCCCACGGGACCCTATTTGGACCAGGCCAAGCCACAAGGTTTTTCCCTAGTCCTGTCCAGGAAGGCGCCTGGGAGAGCCAGGCCAGCTCCTTCCCCAGCCAAGACCCTGTGCTGGGGCTCAGAGAGCCCACCCGGCCTGAGCGGGACCTAGGAGACCCCAGCCCCGCCGTGGCCCAGGACGAGGCCCCACCCGGGGACTGGCTCCTTGGGGGAGTCCGATGGGGGTGGAATTTCAGGTGTAAACCTCCTGTGGGTCTGAACCCGAGGACTGGGCCCGAGGGGCTGCCCTATTCCTCCCCTGACAACGGGGAGGCTGTGCTGGACCCAGGCCAGGCCCCGAGACCCTTCAGTGACCCCTGCAAATACCCTGGCCGGACCAAAGGCTTTGGCCACAAGCCTGGCCTGAAGAAGCACCCGGCCGCGTCGCCCGGGGGCCGGCCCTTCACCTGCGCCACGTGCGGGAAGAGCTTCCAGCTGCAGGTGAGCCTGAGCGCGCACCAGCGCAGCTGCGGGCAGCTGCCCGACGGGGCGGCCGGGGCGGCCGGGTCTGCGCGGGATGGAAGCGGCCTGCGGTGCGGGGAGTGTGGACGCTGCTTCACGCGGCCAGCTCACCTGATCCGACACCGCATGCTGCACACGGGCGAGCGGCCCTTCCCCTGCACGGAGTGCGAGAAGCGCTTCACGGAGCGCTCCAAGCTCATTGACCACTACCGAACCCACACGGGTGTGCGGCCCTTCACCTGCACCGTCTGCGGCAAGAGCTTCATCCGCAAGGACCACCTCCGCAAGCACCAGCGCAACCACACGGCCACGGGGGCCAAGGGCCCGGCCCGGGGCCAGCCGCTGCCTCCCCTCCCAGCCGCTCCCCCGGACCCCTTTAAGAGCCCTGCCTCCAAAGGACCCTTAGCCTCCACAGACCTTGTGACCGACTGGACTTGTGGCCTGAGTGTCCTGGGACCCACCGAGGGCGGGGACCTGTGAGGCACCCCAGGATGGCCAGAGTTGACTCAGCCTTCTGACCCTTGAGGGCCATGAGTGTAAAAAGTCCTGTTTCCAGATGTCCTCGGGGTGGCGGCCAACGCAGAGGCGGGAGGGGAGGCCAAATCCCCACGTTGCTGAACTGATTGATCACTGGAAGAAGAGAAACTGTCAAATGCAGCTTCCACCTCTAAACAAAGTAGAACTCTGAAACGGCACCATAGAATTTTAAGTAATTTAATTACAAAACTTTTGTAATTCTTGAAGCTGAAAAATAGTAGTAGTACCAGTTTAAACTTTGTAGTATACTTTTGGTTTCCAGAGCGTGTTTATGTGGGCTGTGCCCTTACCAAGTCTGACGTGAAGGTCGGCGGGCCTGGGGACACAGGAGGGACTGGGACCAGACCTCCCTTGGCCCCACTGACTCTTAGTGATGAGATGGTCTTAGCACGAAGTCTGGGGAATTGATACCCTGCTCTGCCCAGGGCTGGGCTGGGCCTGGGGCTGGGGCTCCAAGCCTCCTGGGACCTGAGACCAGCTGGGTGCTGTGGAACTCTAGCCTCATCTCAGCGGGGAGGACTCGTCCCAGAGCAGCCAGCTGGCCTCTTTACCTGAAAAGGCCCCCAACAGTGCTGGTCCTTCTGTGTTTCCATTAGGGGCCACTGGCCATCCCTATCAGACTCCTGGGCTGCCAACCCCACCTGGAGCTTGTTCCACTCTAGCAAAATGCTTCTGTGTCCCTTGTGTAGTGTTTTTTCATTGTCAAAATTCTTTCACATATCTCATTTGATTGTTACTGTGACTTTGTGAAACACCCAAGGCAAGTCTTTTTGTTAGAGATGAGAAATAATTAACTCAAAGGGGATATATCTCAGCCTTGCACTGTAATGCTGAGCTAATGGGGGGGAGCAGCAGTTGGGAAAAGCCTCAGGTTAGACATGGCTTATCTTCCCAGTTCAGTTTGGGGAAAGAAAACTGTTTTTGCCCTCTCAGAAGATTTGTCCCACATGTGCACGAGCATAACGGTCAGGCCTCAGGCTAAGCCCGGCCCCCCCTGGTGTGGGTACTCCCAGCAAGGTCCGAGAGGCTGCGTATGGTTGATGTTCCTCTGCTGACATCCTAACGGTGGAATTGGACATGGGCCCAGGTTTCTTAATTCTACCACAGTGCTGTCCCCAAGTAATCATTCCTGTTTTTTTGAAGCCGCCTCTGGATCCCTTATCTCCCGACAGAGGAGAGACCAGGGCTGCTCTCACTCACCTCCCCCATGTGTACTTTTGTTAGGCAATAGACTAGTTTAAAAAATTGTTTCTCTGTACTGTATATTTTGTACCTGTTTACACCTCTAATTGATATAACTGATATTTTGAAAAACACATGAAGAGGAAATGCCCTGTTAAAATAAAACCTAACCAGCACTGAGGTGGTATGGTGGGTTTCATTCTGAGATCTGCATCTCTGGTGCTGATGTCTCTGAACATGGCCCCCAGGCTGTGTGGTCAGCTCCCCAGGCACTTGGTCACCTTGAACCCAGGGAAGTGACAGTGCCTAAGAGCTATGAATGGAAGATTCTGGAGACTTGGAGGGGAAATCAAAGCACATCCTGTCACTGCTTCAGAAGATGATCACGGTTTATGTAATTTAGTCTTATGTAATTTGATACGATGCACATGAGGACAGGAAGGTCAGGAGAAATAGTGCAGAACATCAAAACTGATGCCGGATGTTTTCTCTTTGCATCTTCTGGCTCAGCCAGGGCGAGGAAAGGAAGGGCAATGCCTGTAGTTGTGTCAGAGTCAAGTCCCCCCATTCCCTTAGACCCAAGCTAACATCCACGTTCCCACCAACCAGAGGTAACAGTTGTTCTCACGTTTTCATCTCTTACACCAGCCCTCTTCCCCATCCTCCCTCTCTCCCTCTTGCCCTGTTCTCTGCATGCAGGCCCCCAGCCACTCAGTGGTTCACTAGATGGATGACGTGGAAACTTTTGGTTCAGCTGCATTCTTGGAGACAATATGGGAGGAGAGGGTCTAGACGAGGGAGGGTGCTGAGTTGAGTTTCAGACATCCAAAAGGGGGTTCCCAATCAGTAGTTAGGGAGACCACCAGTGGCAGCAACCCAACACTTTCCAAACTCCTGGGAACTCTCACTCTGAACCCATTGCTCTGAAGCATCCTGTGTAGGCCATGGTACAGTAACCCCTTCCTATGTTAGTCTCCTGTTGCTGCTGTGATAAATTGTCACAGACTTTGTAGCTAAAGCCAACACAGACTCACCCAACGGTTCTGGAGGTCAGAGGTCAAGATGTCAGCTGGGTTGGTTCCTCTGGAAAGTCCAGGGGAGAATCCTTCCTTACAACGTTGAACTTGCAGAGCCGCTTGCATTTTAGCACAGGCAGAACAATTTTTTTTTTATATATAAATATATTTTATTGATTTTCCACAGAGAGGAAGGGAGAGAGATACAGAGTTAGAAACATCAATGAGAGTCATCGATCAGCTGCCTCCTGCACACCCCCTACTGGGGATATGCCCACAACCAAGGTACATGCCCTTGACCGGAACCGAACCTGGGACCCTTCAGTCCACAATCCGACACCCTATCCACTGAGCCAAACCGGTTTCGGCAGGCAGGACAATTTCATCTTGCCCTTGGGTGAACTGAATTGCCTGCCCTTCCCTGAGCGCCATGCTGTTCCATGTGCTGCACATTGTTTCTGCTGCATACAGTGTCTCCCTTTCCCTCACCCCAGCCATCTGGTGTATTTCTTACCCTCAGGTCTTGGCTTAGTGTCCCCCAGCTGTGCCCAATCTCTGCAGGTAGCCTTGCTCAGACTCCTGTTAGCTTGTTAGACTCTCCCTGACTGTATATAACATGTTCCCAGAAATGTGCATAAAGGTGTAGGTATAAAATGAGACAATAGACTCTCAGACTACATGAAGGCTTTATTCCCTGGCAGCTATAAAAAGAAGTTCCTGATCTGGTATAATTGTCAAACTCCTTTAAACCCTGAGTATTGTGCAATTTATACATGATTCCTTAAAGATATTAAAAGCACAATTTACAAGTAGACAATAAGTAATGCAATTTCTGTCTTTAAGAAAATTTGGTCAAAAGTAAAAAAATGCCATTCCTTTCCCCCTATGCTCCCTCCCCTTGACATGTGTTCCCTAACCTCTAAAGGCAGTGGTCACCAACCTTCCGGACCTCACAGACCACCAGTGGTCTGGGGACCACAGATTGGCAACCACTGCTCTAAGGAACCCTACAAGACTTGCAACCAGGGGAGCAATGGGCAGCAGCAGCTCATCCCAGGCTAATCCTCTAAACCTGTCACCAATGCCCCCTTTCCCCTTGTCTTCTCTGATTTCCCTGTGAGCTAAGGCAGCCCAGCGAAGGCTCTCCTGTTGCTTCTTCTATGCCCTTCCTTGTTTCACTGCCCTAGTATGTTTTCATTGTGGTCAATAAATTCCTGCTTTTCTACAAAAAAAGTTTTAAAAAATGCACATATCATGGACTGTATACCCTGAACACACTCCTGATATAAACATCTGGAAGTTCCAAAGGGGATATAACTAACAAATATTAAATATAGAGCTGAAATGTAAAGTAACACAGGAAAATCCTTGTGTGCCAGAAATGACAAAACTAAACACACACTGTAAACATTCGAGGAGATGCTGTACCTGCCTGGTGTGGGGTGAGAGGTTGGAACTGACACCTCCAAATAAAGTTCCTTGAAGGCTTTGTCTTCAGAAAATACAGTTTAGCAAAAATGCATCCCAATACCAAAAGATGTATCCTCAAGAAGTAGATGCTGAGACAAAAGTACAAGAGGTTTATTGGGGGAATAATGACTATGAAAGGTAAAAGGGGGAAGCAGGGTTTTGCATGCAAAGTCTCAGAACAGGATATAGATCCAACATCTGTGCAAGAAAAGGAAAGGAAGCAGGAACAGAACATGAGCATCTCTGACAAAGTTTTAACCAACCAAACACAGGGTTCTAGAGCAAATATTGCCTGGTAGAGGTGTCTTGTGTTGGACAGAAATGACCCAGGCCCTATGAACACCCACTTAGAACTGTGGTTTTGCCGAAACCGGTTTGGCTCAATGGATAGAGTGTCGGCTTGGGGACTGAAAGGTCCCAGGTTCGATTCCGGTCAAGGGCATGTACCTTGGTTGCGGGCATATCCCCAGTAAGGGGTGTGCAAGAGGCAGGTGATCGATGACTCTCTCTCATCGATGTTTCTAACTCTCTATCTCTCTCCCTTCCTCTCTGTACAAAATCAATAAAATATATTTTTTTAAAAAAATAGGAACTGTGGTTTTACCTCAAAAGCCAAGGCATTTCTCTGGTTGGGATGGCTCAGCAGCCAATCAATGTTTCTCACATCGATGATATTTCTCTCTCCTTCTTCTCTAAAAAATCAATGAAAACATTTTTTTAAAAAGCCAAAGCGTTTCCTGAAGGAAAATAATAACTGGAACAGTCAGTTGAATCACTCCTACAGCTGAATGTAAGTTCTTGAGTAGAGATCGGGGTGGCATAACTCCATAGCTGGGCTCTGGGTGATGGTAGTAGATGGGGCAGTATAATATCTTTCTTGAAAATCTAAAACCACAACTATTGCCTCATGGAGTTTGGAATTCAAATTTACATCTCACAGGGCTGATAAATTGATGTTAAGAACTGGATTTGGGCCAATGATAGCACTTGAGGTTTCTGCCTGAAGGGAACTCAGAAACAGGAGGAACTACCCCACAATTCAGACCACAAACCTGGCCCAATATAAGCTCACAATTAAATGTTAAACCCACAAGGAAACAGTCCACCATTAGTGAGAACACAACAAACAACAGGATCAAAATCCAGGAAGTTGAGTCTGGCCTGCATGGCTCAGTGGTTGAGCATCAACATATGAATCAGTCACAATTCAACTCCAAGGTTGCTGGCTCCATTGCCAGTGGGGGCATGAAGGAGGCAGCTGATGGATGATTCGCT